GCTAAGGGTAGAACCTTGAAGGACATCACCATTGGCGTGAGATGAGTCATTGAATCAAACTCAAGAGGAAAGGGCATTTGGAAAGACAGAAACACAACTAGGGGAGAGCCACGCATGAAAGCTTAGGGGTGAGCAATGCTAAATGAAAATTCTTTTCATGCAGATTTAGCATGCATTTCCATAAATATTTCTAGTATAAAAGGGATATGTTAAGTTACTCCCTCCCCCGCAAATTTTCAAGCTAAATTTCCCCTCCAGTGCTTCTTTGTTTATCCTTGGCATTCAAACATATGCCACTGATTACCTTCAGAAGCAAGCGTACTCCAGTTTGAGACATGTCGGGGTGGATTTCCACAGTCCCCCTTCAGAGTCCTAACAGTGAGTCACTTTGTCCCAATTGCATTAGGTAATACCTTTTGGCTAAGCCCAGGCAACCCTGCTGGGGTTTATTATGAGCCCGTTGTTTGAAGGGACAGGAGGAAATTAGTTGTGTTTGAAAACTAAATGAATTTTTCAGTAACAATATAAATTTCTGTTCATTTCCTTCATGAACTCAAATTAAGTCCAAAACACAGTTTAAGCAGTTTCAAAACAATATTAAGAACATTTTTTAAATACAGAAAGATTGAGTAACAATGAAAACCCAGATACCCACCATTTAGATTAAAAAATTGTTATGATTTTACCATATTTACAAATATGGTACTCTGACTTAGAAGTACAGCTGATTCTCATTATTTGAAGTAGTTACGTTCGTGAAGTTGCTGTGAACACTGAATTAGTGAATACCCAGTCATTGCTGCTAGCAGAAACATAGGGTTAGGTTCCTACAAGCCTCTGGACACAACATTTTTGTCAGTCAGTCAACATATAACCTTGTTTTATGTGTGTTTCTGTTTAAAGACACCTTGTTTAATATACATTTCTTAAAAATACGCAGTATTTCTTTATAATAAAACCGTAGCGAAGAAGGGCTTAACGTTTTCCCAACCCTGGGTAATGGGACGGTAAATGTCTTTGGCTTTCTGTCTCACAACATTGCTGTCCACTACACTTTTCTAAATCAGTCTTCATCTCATGAATCCACAAATTTAGCCACTTTACCATCTTTTATATAGCCTCATCATGCACTATAGATGTTACGTTAGCACTTTTGGAGCGGCCTCCCATACAGATCGACAAGTTTCCTTTTCCTTTTTCTGTAAGATTCATTAACGTTGAACTCACTGCCAGCTGGGCTATAACTTGTGCCTGAACGAAGCTTATCTAACAGGGTGTATTTTCTCCATAAGGCACATCACAGACTTTTTGCATTTAGGAACAGCACTTCAGCACTACCCTGAGGACCATTTTAAACAGCAAAATCGCCAAGAAAAATGCAAAAAAAATGCGGCACTAAATAGATCGCGAAAAGACATTTGTTTACCGTATGAGAGCTGAAACAAGGCAGAGCGCTGCTTACTCCACCTCAGCTGGAACCTGCACACAGGGCGACTCGTGTGTTTCATGGCTTTGCACGTCTCCTCAAATGACTGTGAAAGCTCTCTGATATTTGGGGGTTATAAATAAGTTTTAGCTAGTAGGCAAATGCACAAATACGGAATCTGCAGATAACGAGGGTTGACTGGAGTTGGCATATTCTGGGACCACAGAGAAAATCACCAATATGTGAACATATGTCTCTGTAAAAAAAAAAAAGAAGAAGTTGCACATGTGTATAATTGAAGGAGTCACATAGTTAACAAAATGACTTGTAAGGAAAAATACCAGTCCCCCACCCTTTTCCTGCTGCCCAGAGGTAACACCTTTCAACTGTTTTTGGCTGATTCTTTTGATCTCTTTCTCCACATCTTTAGTGAACTTTAAATGTAAATAACACGTCTATGATTTCACCACATTACTTCTTGTGGCTCAATGGCTGCTTTGGTTTTCTTTATTATATTCATTGTAGATTCAGTAACGGAATACTTAGTAGCTCTATGCATATTTATCTAACAAGTTTGTTAAGAGCTTTATTTTTTGTGTGGTAAGATACATATAACAAAACATTAGCCATTTAAGAACTTTATTTCTTAAAACATTACTTTTCTTAACCTTTTAGCCATGTTCTAGGCACCTGTATTGCCTACCTGCCTGTTCATCACTGAGGAAGCCATTCATGAATTTTAATCTTTTCTATAACATTTTCAATTAATTATTTAGGTCACTGAATGGCATATAACATTAGTATAAGATATTTAAGCTTATACATAGCAAAGCTAGGTATAAGAAATAGAGATTCTCTAGTGCAGAAGTTTTAAGGGGTGTTATTTCCTTGTTTTTGCTCACTTTGGACACCGAAATCTTGACAGTAGTATTGTGTTAAGAGTTGATAAATCTGAGGACTTAGTGAAGGAAGTAAAAAGATTTGTTGAGAATTACTGCATTCAGACTTTAAGAAGTATATACTTTTAATTAATTATAATTTAACTGTGTGTGAAAGAGAGAGAGAAACTGACCAACACAGAGAGAATATAAATGTGTGTCCTGAGTGTGTCATGAATAACTTCAACAATGTGACTTGAATCCTGCTCCCACTCACTGCCATTGAGTTGTTTCTGACTCATAGCGACCCCTTAGGGTTTTCAAGGCTATAAATCTCCACGGAAGCAGACTACCACATCTTTCTTCCATGGAGCAGCTGGTGGTTTTGAACTGCCAACCTTTCAGTTAGCAGTTAATCACTTTAACCACTGCGCCACCAGGGCTCCTTGAATCCTGCTCAGGAATGTCCATTTCTTGCTTTGGGTACTTGTTACTAACTGCTATGTATTTCCTCAAAGTACAGTCATATTAGTTTATATGTTCTACAAAATGTTGGCTGCCTGGTATGATAATGAAGAGGAATGATTGTGCCATAACTCCGCTTTCTCTAAGTGAAACATCCTATATATGTGTCCTCTTTGGAGCAGTACTCTTTCAGCTGTGACCAGCATTTGGTGTGTGGTAGGACTTTTAACCCCCTTTCCTCAAAAAGCCACTTTTCTACTTTTGAGCCAGAACTGAAAGTATCTCCATTGCATAGGACCGTAGTACTTCTGCAAAGTGCCATTAAAAATTCCCACCCTCCACCCAGCATTGACATATAGCATCATTGCTAGTATGTGTAGAGAACAAATAGCAAAGATGGTATTTTCAGAGGACTTGTTGTGAGTGAGACTCTGTGTGTTTATGGAGCAGCAGCCTGCATGCTCCTCCCCCAAAAAAGGTAATAGAAAAGAATGGACGAGGATTTGTACCCACCCAGCCAGGTAATCAGAGAAATAATGTTAACAGCCACTTGAGAGTAACTCCCCTATAACTGATCCAAGCTTGTCATAAAAAATATATTTAGAATTTTGAGAAGCCATGGTTGAGGTCATGTATTAGGCTGTTTCCCTTTGGTTAATGAAAATGTGATTTTAATTTGACCAAAAAAGGATTTACAAGCTGACAGAAGGTGAAACAGGTAGGTGATATTTGGGGTTAGAGATTGGTCAGAACAGCTCACATCAGAACAGGTTGAGAAAGGACGTACCTGATTCTAAAGTAACTGTAGCCGGAACATTAGCGCGCTCTTTCCCCCAAGTGTTTCTCTTTGTAAACAGATGACTAGGTCACTGTATCTCAAACCATAGGGGGAAAACTTTCCAATTCTTTCTTCGAATGAAATCTTGGGCAGAGTTCAAAGAAAGTGTTACGATATTATGCAGTGAAGATATTTCTATGTTTACGTGGGAAAAAAAATCAAAGTAGAGTCAAGGTATATTAAACCCACTTTGGGACGAGGTTGGAACTCAGTTTGAAAGCTGCTGATCTAAGTGAGCTGTAAGGTTCCTCTCAGCAGTGTTAGCTTCTGGCCTCTTATGTGTGACTGTGTGGTGCCTATGAGTATAACTTCTTTTATGTTATTTAGCAAAAGAAACTGTTTCCTTTGTAATTTCTGACACACTCTCAAATCACTTCCATTGTTTGTCTTCTTAACTTTGTTTTTTCATGGTGGCTTCTTGGAATAGTTGCATGTCCCCATTTTGAATGTTGTAATATTCTGGTTTATGTGGTTGAAATGTTGTTTTCTGATATCCACAAAAAATTAAGAACTTCTAGAAGTTAATTATCCCTAGGGTTTTATCCAGTGAGTTCTTTCATAAGAGATGGCCTCAACCAGGCAGAAAGAGTCCGTGTTGGAACTGTTACATAAGGGAGTTGAGGATCTGCTGGGAGATTTGTCCAAGGTTCCATTCCATGTTCTCTCCAGCCCTGAGACCCTGCCGCTGACAGAACAGCAGGAGGGGTGTGCAAGAAGTGTGATCCTAGTCGGTGCGGCCCACTGGGTGCTTGGAAGGAGCAGCATGCACACTGGAAAAGGGCATCTGGAGAGACTCGATAGTAGGCTCGTTGCTGGTGCTGAGTGGCTGAGTTCCTTACCTAACTGTTGTGGTTTCCTCAGCTGTAACATAGAGATGTCTGTCACTTGGTGGTATGTGTGATGATGAAGGACACTTTGGGAGGCAGACCTGAGCTTGTTTTACCACTTAGTACCTTGAGCCAGTTCCTCTCTAAGCCTCACCTGTAAGTGGGAGGAATCGTGCCCCTCAGGGAGTTGTTTGAAAAGATTCCATGAGATGATGAATTAAAGCACTTAGCATCAAGCCTGGCAATAGTGGTTGTCCTGTAAGCGGTAGCTGCTGTCACCTTCATCATCAGCACCTTTCATCTCCGCCTCTTCCTCACTTGGATGGGTAGGGTAAGAGATGAAAAAATAAAATATTTTGAAAAATACAAAGTGTTCTATAATTCTGAGATACCTTCTATGATCATTTCTGGCATCTGTTGATGGAATTCCCAGTTCCCACTGATTTTGAAAGTCATGAAAAGTGACTTTCTCAAACACTGTCCCCCCTGCCCCCTTAGGATTTAGAAAGTATGTCTCTTGACACTCCCCTCCTTTGTTCTCACAAAGCCTTGTGCTGTGTTCCCAGGTAAAGCAGGCAGAGCGCAGCGGAGGCCTCTGCTGCTTGCCGTCATGCCGTTCCCGTTTGGAAAGTCTCACAAATCTCCAGCAGACATTGTGAAGAACCTGAAGGAGAGCATGGCCGTTCTGGAAAAGCAAGACATTTCTGACAAAAAAGCAGAAAAAGTATGTATTTGGCTTTATTTTATATTTTAAATACTTGATTAGAAGCAAAAGTAAAAGGTTATGAAGTGATTTAAAAAAATAAGTAAATCCAAATTTGGGTTTGTGTGGGTTTTTTAAAATGTAGCCCTAGAGTAGCAGTTGCTGGTGATGGAACACCACAGTTTCTCCTGAACTGCCATCTAACAAACATTTCCAACTTTTTTCTGTTTTTTTAATTGAGGTTTTACATTAATTTCTTTTCTTTTTTTTTGTTCCTTCATTCTTTGGAGTGGTGTATCTGACTTCTTAAAATCAGTTTTTCCACTGGCAATCTTCCTGGGAGGAAGGCTTCCCTGGTTTTCTTCCTGTGTTCCCTCTATCCACAACCAGTACCTCCACCACCCCAGTCAGCACAGTCCCAAACCTGACCTTCTTCCTGGGCTTTTCTCACCCACCTGTCTATTGAACATCATCATTCACTAATATTGTATATTCTGCCTCCTAACAGAATTGATTCTGTCCTCCATTCCTACTTGAAGAAGATCCCCGTAGTCTTTCTTATGGACCTTAGCAGAGTTAAATGCAGACAGAACAGAAACAATAGCCCATAAACACAGAATCTAGGGCCATTTAGAGTAGGAGAAATCAGTCATATCTGCCTAGCCATAGCCTCCCCACAGTAGCTCTTTCTAAAATACCTCACTGCTTAAAACTTTCAGTGTAGACTCCTCACATGGCACATTTCTCTGCTGGAACCCATATCATCTGCTTTAAATCAGTGGTTTCTAACCAGAAGCGCTTTTGCCCTCCAAGGGAACATCTTGGCAATGTCTGAAGATATTTTTAGTGTCACACTGAGGGGAGAGCTGCTACTGGCATCTAGTGGGTAGAGGCCAGGGATGCTGCTAAACATCCTGCATTGCATGGGACAACCCCCACAACAAAGAATCGTCTGTTAGTGTGTCAGTAATGCTGAGGTTGAAGTTCGTGGGCTAAACCAGCACTAAGCAAGAATAGACCTCCTGCTGTAAGGATAAACAAAACAAAGAAAAGTAGTTGAATAGAATTTGTAAAAAATAAATCTCAGTTGAAAGGAAGGGGACAACTCTGAAGAACAATCCATGTAGATTGCTTTTTCTGAAATAGATTATAAATGGTGGGGGGGGGGAGAACCCTGATATTTCTTTCATTCACGTTCAAGATTCAAAAGAAAGTAGCATGTATGCAACTAATGCAAACAGTGAAGAAGAAGGAACTGAGACCTTATAACAGTGGAATGATGAAAAATCTAATCATTAAATTAAAAGCTATGAAAAACAACTTTAACATCATATAGAAGGTAGTCCTGTTAAACCAGGGTACTTGCTATGACCTGTTTTTTAGCATTGTTCTGAAAATTCTAGCCAGTGCATAAAGAAATGGTTCAAAAATACAAAATACACCTATTGCAAGTAAAGAGGGAAAATGATGGCATTCGGATATTCGTATATGTTTGCACAACCCAAGAGAATCAGTGGGAAAATGAGAGCTTATTAGTGTGACTGGATGAGTAAAAAATTCATAGCTTCTGTAAATACCAACGCTAACTGGCTAGAGAGCGTAATTATTAAAAAAAAAAAAAAAAAAGAAGAAGACTCTCATTCATAATAGCCATAAAACAAGTATGTTGTTGCTATTAGGTGCCGTCAAGTTGGTTCTGACACATAGCGACCCTGTGTACAACAAAACAAGTGTAAGACATAAGATGTCTGGGAATACGTTCAAGAAGTGCAGAACCTGCATGAAGAACACTGTACAACCTCATCCTGAGGCACAGAAAACTTGGCCCATGTTATCAGATGGAAAGATGAAATATAGTTAAGATACCATTTCTTCCCAAATTAATTTTTAAGATTAAAGCCATTCCATTTAAAATCACAGCAGAATCTTTTTGGAACTTGACAAAAAATGATTCTCAAGTTCCGGAGGAATAAATAGAATAGCTACAAAGTTGGGGTGGGGTTTAAAGAAAATGAATTCTTTTTATGCTTCCGCAAAAAATCCTCTTTAAAGATAATGACACAAATAGATTAAAAGTATAAGGATGAAAAGTGGTGAAGGACAGTCGTTTACTTCTAAGATCAAGAAGACAGGGATGGCTGCTTTCACCACTTCTGTTCAACTTTGTGCTGAAGGTTCTAGGCAGTGCTATCAGGCAACAAAAAGAAGTAGAAGGCATCCATATTGAAAAGGAGGAAGTAAAAGTGTCTTAATTGCAGACAACAGAATCGTCCACATGGAAAAGCTGAAGGAACGTGCAAAAAGAAGTGGTAAACTAATTAGTGAGTTCAACAAGATTGCAGGTTACAAGAACAACATTAAAAAATCAATTATATTTCTGTATAGTAGCAATGGACAATCGGAAATTAAAACTTTAAAAGATACCATTCACAATAGCATCAAAAGATATGAAATACTTAGGGACAAATTTGACAAACGAAGTAAAAGACATGTATGCTAAAAGCTATAAAATATTGTTAAATCTTTGTGACCTTGGGTTAGGTAAAGATTTTTTAGATAATGACATCAAAAGCCTACTCTGTAAAAGAATAAATTGATAGACTAGACTTCATCAGAATTAAAACTTTCCGCTCTTCAAAAGACAAGCCACATACTGGGAGAAAATCTTTGCAAAGCATGTATCTCATCAAAGATATATTTAAATATATCTTTATTTCAAAATATATTTTAAAAACTCAAAACCCGACAATGAGAAAAACAGGACAATAAAAAATGAGCAAGAGATTTGAATAGATACTTTACTAAAGAAGATACACGTATGGCAAATAAGCACTTAAAAAAAGATTTGAATCATTGGTCATTAGGGAATTGCAAAGTAAAACCACAGTGAGATACCACTACATGCTTATTAGAGTGGCTAAAATTGAAAATACTGACTACACCAAATGTCACCCAGGCTGCAGAGCAGCTGGAA